TGTGGTTATTGGGAAGACTTAATGACACCCATAGAGGGCTCACTGCATATCTGGTGCCTAGTGTTTCTCAGTAAATAGAAGTTGCTGTGCAGCTCTGTCTCACATTTAAGATGTGCATATAAGGCAACCCAGATGCATTGGGACCAGTGTAGTAGTTAGGCTGCCATGGGAGGGAGAGGCGGTAGATATTCAGATGGTAGAGGGTTAGCACTCGGGGCCGTGCAGAGCGCTGTGCAGCTTGAAGAATGCCTTCCAGGATAGCTGATCCAACACAGCACCCACAGTAATCCTGTGGCCCTTCTCTTGAAAGAATGTTGATGGAATCCAGATGGCAGTTAGAAATGTATCTTTGTCATGTGGGATGAATGTTGGGAAGAGCACTTAATGCTCATTTTAGGTTGCGATTTGGGTTTTTTCTGATGAATCATAACATTTGAGAGAGAGAGAGAGAAAACACATATACTTGTGTGCATGAGTTGCTGGGGGTTTGGGGGCACTGAGGAAGGTATTTTCCCAGCCTTGATTATTGCTGTTGGATTTGAAGGGTAGATTTAACCACATAATCATCTCTTCCCCTCTTTAGAATATAGTTTTTTTTCCCTGTTTAAAAAGGAAAATGTTGTATTTTCATCGTTATTTTTTGGACCATGGCATTTTTATGTATTTATATGCAGAGTTACTATTATAAAATCGATCTTCTTAGGCTGTTGTGAGAAGGAACGTGCGGTGATGAGAGACGCTGGAGTTTCTGCAGAGCATCCTGAGCTTGCTTTTCAAATGATCTCGTTTGGAAACGATACATGCTTCTACCATTTAATTGATAAATCCATCTGTTAATCACTAGAAATGTAATCCACACACTTGGAGGGAATTCATTGCCGTGCTGTTTGGAAGGGGGTTGGAGAACGAGTTGGGAGGGTTTTAAAAGCATGTTGGAGCCACTTGACTGTAAGCAGAAGGGGGATTCTGAGCGGTGAGGTGTCGTCTTTCCCAGAAGGCCCCAGTCCTGAGGTTTCACTCAAAGGTCTAAAGGGATTCGAGGAAGCTGCAGCTGAGAACCGCCCAGGATTTGGCAGCATGGTGGTGGAGTTCTCTGATGCACATCAGCATGAAGCCCAGATACCTGTCTTCTCAATTAGGTTATTAGCTCTCGACAAGCTCAGGGGTACTCGGTACTGGTGAGGATGTAGAAAAATAGTAATAACTTATGCCTCCTTTTAAATTACCACTCTCTGGAGGGCAGCTCAGCCATGTCACTCAACTGCACACATTCAACCAACAATTTTCATTGCCAGGTTTGTGTTAGCAACGATGTTTGGCACTAGATTTTAGAATCTAGGTTGGCACTCTCACTGTCGCTCCTAACAACTGGATCGCTCAGGATTCTGGGGCACCTTGCAGCTGCTTCAACGAGCAGAGTGGGGATGGGGCTGTGTGTGTAGCTCAACTCAATTCCGGTGCCACCAAAAAAAAAAAGAAAAATGGGGCAGACAAGGACGGGTGATTGATGGTGGAAGAGCTCCAAGATTCTAGAATTAAGTGAGAGAAGGGCATAAGAATTGAAATTGCATAATCCCAGTTGCATGCATGACAAACAAGTATTTAAGAAGGTGGTGCATTAAAATATTTTGGAAAACATGCATAAAATGAAGGAGACACTCCATGGGGAAGTAGGACTTTGGTTTGGAAGTGGCAGGATTTTTGCTGTGACTTGAGATGGCTCACCGTGGGTGTGGGCATATTTTAGTCTAAGACCAATTAGGGGAAACCAGCAGCTTTTACCCGATTGCCACTTTGATGAGCGAGGGGTGTGCGGTATTTTTTACCCCCCATCCTCACATTCATATCTTTGTTTTCTTAACCCAAAGGACAATCAAGATGGCTCATCCAGCGAGGGAATCTTTGTGTCCAGAATAGTGGAGAGCGGACCGGCGGCCAAGGAAGGAGGCCTGCAGATTCATGACAGGATTATCGAGGTAAGTGATGCTGGCCAGCGTCTTTGAACAGGCTGTACGTCCTTGCCTTCTGCATCTGGCTCGCAGCGCGATGCTTGGTCGGGGAGGGGAGGCCTCAGGCCGGACGGACGGCTGGGCAGGAGGTGTGCTTCTCCTGAGGGTCGTGCCGGAGCAGGGGCCACGTTGAGTGCTGTGGTGTGAAGTTGTTGCATATAGAGAAGCAGATGGTGAGTGTGTGTTCACGGCCCGCTCCTTCCCTGCGCACCTGCATCTGATTCGGATGCTCAGTTTGGGCTCTGTGCAGAACTGTCGGAGAACTGGATGTTGGGACCGGATAGGCGGTCCCCGCTGCACCCACCCTTGTGGCCGTGCGCAGATTGGTCACTGGGATGTGATGATGTCGGCTCTGGAGCTGGAGCCCACAGGGTACTGTGGCTTTTGTACCCTCGTTGCTGTCCTCTTTGCTGTTTGCCTGTTGTCACTGGTCACCCAGGGGTGAGCGGTAAGGGTAGGGTCCCCTCACATCCTCGCCAGATTTCCCTTCATTTGCACTTCAGACTTTGGCACACAGGCTTGGGTCTGCGCTGGGGAAGGTGGCTCTCTGGGCCCTCCCATGCCATCCTTCGGAATAGACGTGGGCAGTGTCCCAGGGTGCTCTGGGTTGCTGAAGGAAGAACATCCCTCGTTTTATTGTTTGGGCTCCATTTGCAAAACTTGATGTACGTGGCTACATTTTTTTTTGCTGTTTGTTGTTGTTGTTTGGCTTCATTTTGATTTCTCTTTTAATGGGTACACCCACGGCTAAATATGTTGGGCCTTCTATTAGGGAGAAAGCAAATAAGAGTGTCCAAGATGATACCCTGGATCCCACAAGAAACTCGCCCACGGGCCGTGGTCATGATACAGTGCATCAAACAGGAAACCAGGAGAACAGCCCCGAGACGGTGGGCGTCTGTTGTTCCAGACACATTTGTGGAGTGTCTGCATTTCCTCAGTGCTTTTGTGGCTCCTTCCAAAATGTGGGGTTGGACCGAGTGGGAGCTTGACCATGAGCTAAGCCATAAGTGGGATTGCGTCACCCTGGCGTGTGGCCATGAGCTTCTCTGGGGAAAGGAACTTCCAGAAGACGGAACACTCTGGACCCGTTCTGCCAAGTGCAGTGCAGGGAGTGGAGGTGATTCATACCTTCAGCACAACACAGGGAAAGGACCTGGATGATGGAGGCTCAAGGGTCTCTTCTGCCAGCGGGAGGCTGCAGGCTGTCCCTTAGGAATTCAAAGGGTACTTGATTTTGTGTTGAGGACAGTGTGAATATTGTTGCATGCCCTTTGACTGTCACTGAAGTCCTTAAACTTAGAACTGTTCTTGCCTCGAGTTTGAGGGTTACTCTTTGTCCTTCCCAGGTCAGGGGAATGGATTTTCCCTAACAGGAATTTGCTTGGGCAAGAGCCCATTTCTAAAGAGCTCAGATGCATCAAATGACTCTTTCGGAGAGCGAACGCATTTTCTGAGACTCTGGTTCAGAAAGATAAGTGCAACCTCCGTTGCCAAGGGTCTGCTGGAACAGCCGGTCTCTCTGAGTAATGGAATGTCATTGCTCTTGTGTTTTGCAAATGAGAAAACTACAGCTGGGCAGGATTTTCTCTTGGCAAAGGGATGATCTGTATTTGAAATGTTCAGTACGGTTTCTGGTAAGTCACACTCTCCTCTTGGACGGTATGTAAAATATTAATCATGTTCCAGTGTTGAGATGGGAAGGGGGGTGCTCACAATAGAGAGACGATCTCTGCGTAATTGCAATTGACACACCGTGCCCTTCCCAGGCAAGTTCTAATCTCTTTTGACATGATACAGTGATTCCCATGACTGAAAATATGTTCTTTGGTTCACCTCATCTGTGTCTGAGTGTATTGCCAGGGGCCATGAATTCGATTATTTTACGTGTGTGTTGGTATGTGTGTGTAGTGGGTGTGGGAAGTGTGGGTGAGTGGGTGGGGGGGCTCAGCACTGGCAAGAGTCGGAGGTGCTCTTCTTTTCTACCACATACTTCAGGGGAGCCGCCAGATCTCCACCGTGAGAATGTGAATTCTTGCAAGATCCTGCTTATATTAACTCCAGAGAGGCAGATGGGTGTCGTCCTGTGCTCTGACGGGGCTCTGTCTCCTGAACAGAACACGGGGCCTCAGCCACATCAAAGCCAGTCCCACCACCCACCCCCCACCCCAGTTTTTGTAGAACAAATATTTTAAAATGCCACTAAAGCCATTATGAAAAAACATTCACAAATAACACACACACACACACACACACACACACACACACAGAATTGTAAAAATGTCGACTGCCAAGTAGTAGAAAAATAAAAGGAGATGCCACACTGACCCACTATCAGAAGCCAACACTGGGCACCATGGCTTGGGAAGACGGGACCCTGACAGCCGCTGTGTCTCTGTGTGGGGACAAGGAGGGGTGCCAGCTGCAGGGTGCGGGAGGGCGGTGCTAGCAGCTTGGGCGCCCCGAGTGGCCACCCAGGTCACAGGTTTCCGCAGTGGTGAACTGGTCACGGTGGAGTTCTGGCCCAACCAAGTACAGTCTTCCTTTGATTTATAGGGAAACCACATTTCTAGAACTAACTCTCTCTCTCTCTCTCTCTCTCTCTGTATCTATGATAAAATATACATAATATGCAGTTGGCTGTTCTAACCATTTTTTTTTTAAAGAGAGAGAGAGAGAATTTCAATATTTATTTTTCAGTTTTTGGTGGACACAACATCTTTGTTTGTATGTGGTGCTGAGGATCGAACCCGGGCCGCACGCATGCCAGGCGAGCGCGCTACCACTTGAGCCACATCCCCAGCCCCAATATTCTAACCATTTTTAACTGACAGTTCCTTGGCATTAAGTTCTTTCAGATGTGGTGTAACCAACGTTACCATCCACGTCCAGAGCACTTCCATCTTCCCCAGTTGAAACAATGCACCCAGGAAGTATTAACTTGGCCCCCCCCACACCCCCCCCCCTGCCAGCTCCTGGCGACCTGTCCCCATCAATTTGATGGGTACCTGGAACCGGGCAACATTGGCAGTTTTGGGTCTGGCTCATTTCACTGTGCGGTGTCCTCCAAGTTCCTCTGTGGTGTGTGTGTGTCTCAGGCTTTCCTTTTCTTTAAGGCTGAGTAATGTTCCCGTGTCTGGATATATATTGCTTATCAGTTCGTTCATGGATGGGCACTTGGGTTGATTCCACTTTTGACTGTTGTGGGAAAATTGGCTTTGAACATGAGCGTACGATCTCTGTGTATTTAAACTGGGGAAAAGCCCTTTATGCTGTTGTGTGAGACAGACCCTGAGCCGGGTCTGTCTCCCGGGATTTGAAATCTGTGCTGAACACGGAGCCATTCCTTATAGCAGGGGTCTGTGTGCATGTGAGGACTTCTGTCACCTCTGGTACATGGCACCACCCATCACTGTGATGCTGGAAAGCCCCTCTCCCCCAGATTTTCAAAGCTTCCACTGACAGGGCTGCGAGGAGAACCAGGGGTACACATTTGTCTAGCTCCAAACCTCAAGGCAGCAGCTGGGACAGAGCTGTCCCCTTCCTGTCTTCTGAGACTGCATGATGGCCGACTACTGGGCCCCTGCCTGGGAGGGAGCCCTGAGCTGGCCTGTGCTAGATCTGGGGAAGGGCGTGTCAGGCCCCTTTGGATCAAGTGCCCTCTAGGCCACATGGCGCAGGGAGCCTGAGCTGGCCACTGGCACTTCGTGTCCCATCTGCCCTGGTCCTGTGGGCAGACTCTCGTCCTGCCTCAGAGCTGGCTCTTGACAAACGGCAAGTTCCCACCTACTGTCTGCTTTGGGGCTCTGTTCTGGGTCTTCTCTGTCCCCCCATACCTCTTAGCTGCCCCTGGTCTTTTTCACAGCTTCTGACCCTGCTTCAGATTGCAGGTACTCAGTGGCTATTTGGAAACTTAGTTTCTCTACAGTATCTTTTATTTGTTTATTTTACTTTTTTGCAATACTGAAGATTGAACCCAGGGGTGGTCGGAGGCTGGCCTTGAGCTTGGCCATCCTCCTGCTTCTGCCTCTGGCGTCCCTGGGATGACAGGTGTTCGCCCCGGTATCTGGCTCCACAATGTCCTTTAGACCCCATGGGAAATGGTAACTGCCCCAGTGGTTTTTCGGCTTCTGAGCCTGCTTTCTGAACTATCTGTTAAAGATCTCAGTGCCCTGCAGAGTACTTAAAGGAGTGGGCTTCTATTCTTTCAAGAAGTTTGAGACCTTTGCTTTGGAGGAATCGTCCCAGTGCCCAACGCATGGCTATTCCATCCAAGCAGATTTCCTCACCAGCGTGACGCCTTTCCCTGGGGCACGGCTGTCCACTCTAGCCAGTCATGTTCCACTGTTAGTACTACCCTGGGAAATCCCTTGGGGAGGTGGCACGTGGGGAACATGGCATCTCACAGCCAGTCCAGCCGGCTGGTCCAGCACTTGCTCAGTGGCTGCCTCCGCAGTTGACTTCCACGGGGAGCTGTGAGTGTCGTGACCACCTCACTTGGCAACACCCTAGGAAAGCCAAGACTTTCCAAGAGACCAGAAACCTCACCTGGAGGCACATGATGCTCGCTGTGTGGCTCTCGGCTCTCTCTCCACACAGTCTTCGCTGGTGTGGCCTGCCCGGAAGTCCACGCCCTTGCGCTCCCTCTCTGTTGGGATTCTTAAGGATGCAGAGCTGCCATCCACAACTGCATTTTCTGCTGTTCTTCAGGCTGTTGTGAGGGGGAGAAGGGAGCTGTCCCTGTTTTGGGCTCCTTGCCCTTGGTGTTAAATGACGCCCGTTAGCAGATGTATTGTTCTGCTTCGAGGCCGAGAACTGGATTCTCTGGGTGCAATGAAAGTGAGATGTAAGCCCCCAGGCCCCCGCTTCCCCAGTTCCCAGTAACTGTTCCCCTACCAGCTTCTGTAAATGCACATTCATCTCCAAAGCACTGTGATTCACAAACCCAAGGATCTGGTCACCAAAGCCCTGGCACCTCCGAGGCTGGGCTATCAACAGTCATTCTCTTCTGCATGCTCTTTGTTGAGCTGGTCTTGAGCTCCTCTGTCATTGCTAACAAGGTCCCCTGCCCAGGAGAAAGGATTACTGTCTCCTCCCTCCCAGAGCCAGGCTCCCTTTAGCAGACTGAGCCCCCTGCAGCCCTCCGCTTGTTATTGTTAGGTGGGAGGGTAATGTCCTGAGCCCAGGTCTGCTGCAGAGTGGCATGTGAGGGAACCCGGCGGGCCTTTTATTTAAAGATGGAAGGGCCATGCTTTTTCCTTTAATTTTATTTTGACATAACTTCCCACAGGCATGGATGCTGGTCCACTCTTGACCCAGATATTAGCATCTACTCTGTTTATCCTTCTCTATCTACTCCCCCTCCATTTTTTTTTTTTTTTTTTTAAGAAACAGAGCGTTATCCTGCATAAGCACAGGATAGTTATCTAAGCCAGGAAATTAACAGTGCTTAATTAGCACTGTTACCTAATCTACAGAATATATTCATAATTCACCAGTAGTCCCCATAATGTCCTTTAGGGCAAAAGAAAATCCACTGTCGTGACTTTTATTCATCTTTCATGTTTCTTTGGTCTTTTCCTTAGAACGATTCTCAGTTTCATCTTCTGTACCTCTGATTATTTTATTTACTCAGCAGTGCTGGGGATTGAACCCAGGGTGCTTTACCCCTGAGCTCCGCCTCAGCCCATGCTGTCCTTTATGTTGAGTCAGGGTCTCACCAAGTTGCCCAGGTTGGCCTTGAACTTGGGGTCCTCCTGCCCCAGCCTCCCTAAGCAGCTGGGTTCACAGGCCTGTGTCACGGTGCCTCTGGTGTTTTTAGACTGCAGCCAGATCTTTTGGAGAATGTCCCTGTGATTGAGTTTGTCAGAGGTTTTTTTCCTGCCCCTGTTCTGCAGTAAGCCTATGTTCCAGGGAGCTGCAGCTCACGGCCCAGGCACTGGTGCAGAAGTGTCTGGGCGTCTGTCTTTTATGAGATGCTGCGTCCAGAGCCTCTCTCCAGCAGAGCACCTCCCATCCCTGCCCGCTGGAGTTTCCATGGCGTCCACACAGGGTGCTTCAGCAGGAGCGCTGACCGCAGAGAAGTCTCACATGTACCCTTGTGACCGTTCCTTCACACGAGTTCATTAAGAAAGCATTTTAAAATCGAGAATACCTCAGAAGTGATTTGTGTCTCGTTGAGTTTCTTGAGTGGTGCTTTAAGACAGAGCCAGGTGCCTTTTATCACATTTGGAAGGTGTGTTTGGGGTGGCCTGATGTCACTGATGCTGTGAAGTGCGGGTCAAGTCAGTTTTCGTGGGAGAGGGCTGGGGGGCCTTGCGCACGGTGCATTCTAGATGAGGATGCTGTGAGGGGAGAGGGCAGGGAGTGCTGGCAGTCAGAATTGGGGCTGGGAATTGCAGAGGGGAAGGCTCAAGGGCAGAGGAGCCGCCAAAAGCTCTGATTGGCAGTGATGCCACTTTCCCTGGGCGCTCAGAGCATGTGCCCCAGGCTGGGTAGCTGCAGCCCTAGGATGGCCTCTAATGAGGGTTAAACGTCCTCTCTCAGCCACAGAGCAGGCGGCTGGTGTGGTTTAGTGCCAGGCCGAGGGCAGCCCTCTCCGTGGAGACCTCCAACTTCTTCTGGCTTGTGTCTTCCTGGCAGTACGTGGAACAGCGTGGAGTCTGGGTCCCACCTGCACCCCGCTGCCTGCTGCCACTCTGGATTCTCTTCATTTCTTTCACTGCCTCTGCTGGTGCTGATGGGTATTTGACAGCTCGAAGGAATCAGGAGGACCAAACCCCTCAGGGAGTTTCCTTTTGTGACCGCACCTCTGCCCTCCAAAGGAAAAATTCCAGTCAATTTTTTAAATAAGCTAAATATTTTCATTTTTTTAATTTTAATATTTGGCAGAATGCTGGTATGGGAAAAATTGATGGTATTGATTGTTAATCAGAAGATAGTGTTTTTGCTCTTTTATTTTTAATTTTATAATTTTTTTGGGGGGGGGTACCAGGGATTGAACTCTGGGGCACTCTACCCGTGAGCCACATCCCTAGCCCTATTTTGTCTTTTATTTAGAGACAGGGTCTCACTGAGTTGCTTTGGGCCTCACTTTTGCTGAGGCTGGCTTTGAACTTGTAATCCTCCTGTCTCATAGAACAATCTTTGCTACGAAATGTGTTTTCAGACATGTTGATGTGAGAACTCATTAGCCAGGTACATGGAACCTGTGTGTCCCCAAAATGATTAGGCATTGATTTAAAAATACAAAGAAATGAATTATTTAGAGCTATCCCTTGTCATAACTTGTTGCAAAATCTTCACGATTCCCGAGTTCTTAGGATAATAGTGGAAAAAACAACCAAGAGCAAGTGCACACCACGTTTGGGATGTGCATTGACTTCTCCCTCCAGCCAAAGGAGATGACTGACACCAGGTTAATTCGCTGGGCACTTGGCGTCTCCAGTGGTTAAGCCGCCTGGACTCTGGAATAGACGGCTTTAAAAACCTGCGTCTGACGTTGCTGGCTCCGTGACCTTGGGAAAGCTTCTCCTCTGAGCGTTGCTTTCTTCTGCAAACCTGGGCCGTATTGTCTGTCCCACAGAGTTGCCATCATGAAATGTTGCAAGCCTCTGGATACTGTAAATTTGGGCCCAGAAAAATTGCCCACAGGGGAGGAGCTGTGTCCCTTGTTCCTGCAGGTCTCTGGGGGCGGGGTCCTGGAGGTCTTCCAGGGAGCCCTCACTTAGATTCTCACGTGGTGGCGTGGTTCCATAAAACTGCAATTACAGTTGCGAACAGACCATTTTAATTTGTTTTGAGGCTTCTTTTTGAAATTAGTGACCCTTTGAATCTGGACCGGGTGAGGGCTGCCGCTTCCTGAGGCCATATAAATCATGATAATTGATCAATCAGGAGTAATTCTGAATTTACGTCCTGGTGTGAACAGCATGGTAATTGATCGCATGTGTGCTGACTTAAGCCTTCTAAAAATAAAGCCCAACAAGTGTGTGTTCAATATCAGCTATTTTTAAAGTGCCAGAACAGATTAGGGTTCCCCTTGTCACATGGACTCCAAAGAATATTGAGATGTTCTTCACATTGTGAAGAACTGGTGTTCCTTGAAGAAAGTCATTCCTTAAGGTTGCGAGTTTCATTGAATTTCCTTTTAGGGTAACACTTTCATACGTTTGCAATGATGTAATTACAGCAACGTAGAAAAATTGAAAACTACGATAAAGAGGCAAATAGAAGCATTTCTACTGAGCATTATCTTGACAAAAAATTATCAGTTAGATCATTTAGCAATGGACACAGCGGCCTCCATGTTGGAGTACGGTGGGGCATGGAAACTGCATGTGGAACACATAATATTCCCATTACTTCTTTGAAACTTTAGCTTAAATGACTTGGGAGTACCTCAGGATTAAGCAAGATTTTGTTGCAGGATTATTATTAGATTTCTGATGCTTTGTGTCATTCTTCGAAATATCTGAGTCCTATATGCTTATAAGATGATATAAACATAACATAGGCACTGGGACTAGAATCTGAGGTTCAAAGAAATGCAGAAGGGAAGAAATGGAGCAAAGAATTTTTTTCCTTATTTTTATTGAAATCTTGAAATTTCTTAATATTCTCAGTGGCGCAACATCTTAACTTTTGGTTGTTGTATAAAGATAAGTTGGAGAACTAGAATAAAAAGTCTTGCTTTTTCCTTTCTTTTTTTTTGGGGGGGTGGTACTGGGGATTGAACCCAGGGGCATTTAATCACTGAGCCACACCCCCAGCCTTTTTGATGTTCTTGAGACAGAATCTTGCTAAGTTGCTGACTTTGAACTTGCGATCCTCCTGCCTCAGCCTCCTGAGCTGCTAAGATGACAGGCTTGCGCTACTGTGTCTGGCTTCCCCTTCCTTTTCAAGGACTAATGATAATGGTAACAACGTTGTATAGGTTACAGTGTCTCCACTCAAATGCCCTACCCCGAGTCTTGGTGCCTGGAGGACCTGTCCCCTTTGTGTTAAATTGTAGAGAGATCTGATCGCAGAGAGCAAGGATGCTGGATTCTGAGCTTGACGAAGCTACATTCAGAGAAACCTCATCTTGACCTTCATATCCACATCAGTCCTGCTGCTCCTTAGTATTCATTGGCCAGTCTTAACGGACTGTGTTTTGACAAAAATGATTTCTCCAATTACTTTGAGTTAAAGGGCTTGTCCCGATGCACATGTATGAAGGGATCTGCATAGAATCTGGAGGGACTTGTGTGCCTGGGCATGTAAGCACTATTTTGACAGAAGGTCAGCTTGTGCCATTTTACCTTTGTTATGTATGAGACTCAGACAAATTACTGGAGCCCCAGACAAATTGTATTAAGTTTTAAGCTGCTTTGAACATGGTCTACTATTTATAAGAAATGGAAGAGTCTTTGGGGCAGGTAGTACAACCTAAGGAGGCCGCAAGGGAGTCTTCTTTTTTTGACATCGAGGTTTAGTTACCTGGGATGCACATCCTAGGTAAGCTCAGGTTCATTTGCCTGGTACATGAAGCCACTCAAGTGAGATGCAGAAGGTCTCCTCCATTGGATTATGAGCTTAGCACAATATACAGGGAATTACCCTGATGGAGAGAGAAGAGGATGGAAGGAGGTTGTCTTTGGTTACACAATTACAATTTTAAGGCATTCAATTATTTGAGCTGTTTGTGACCTTTATTATAAAAGGATCCCAGATCTCAGAGAGCTTTTAGAACTTGGCAGAGATTCAACAGGAGAGAGACATCAGGTGTGCCTCCTTTCATTCTGAATTGTCTCTTTCCAGGCTTGATGAGCGTAATGCATGTAAGAAATACAAGCCAGAAGTATATGAAAATACCGTCACACGGTCTCCTGAGAGAACCGACCATTATACTGCCAAAGATTGCACAGGAGGGTCGCTCATGCAGCTCAGCCATAGAGAGTACTTGCCTAGCTGGTGGGAGGCCCTGGGCTTGATCCCAAGCACAGGGGGGGAAAATTATGCAAGAGAGAAAATTAGTCCTTCTGTGTCATGGGGCAAGGGGACAAAAAACAACCCTTTCATCCAGGGAGTATTCCCAGATTGAGAGGTAGCCAGTCAAGCTAGCTAGCATTTCCTATGGAACAGTAATCCTTCATCACCTGGTCATTTTTTGCCATACATGCACCACCTGTTTAGCTAAACACTTAACGTTTTCCTTTAAGCAGTGTTAACTTAAATTTATTTTAAAGGGTTAGTGGAAATGGAATTTGTCAGTGTAGGTGGGAAGCCATTTGCACCTGCTGTTAATAGAGGATAATAGTAAAAATAGTTACAAGGAAAACAGTAGATTTCTTTTTTTTTTTAAGAGAGAGAGAGAGAATTTTTTTTTAATATTTATTTTTTTAGCTTTTCGGTGGACACAACATCTTTGTTTGTATGTGGTGCTGAGGATCGAACCCGGGCCGCACGCATGACAGGTGAGCGTGCTACCGCTTGAGTCACATCCCCAGCCCAAAACAGTAGATTTCAATTCGATGCTTTGCTTGCCGAGAACTGTGATCCTTGAGCTCTGCTTTCTATTAAGAGCAGAAATTATTCCGAGGTGTTTAGAAGTTGGGATGGTGACTGGGAGTAGCCCAGGGCAGCGTTTGGGATGAGGGTCCAATTCTGTTTTCCATCTGAGAAAAGGTTTGAGTGTGTTCCACTGTGGAAAGCCATGGCAATGTCCATTGGGGTTGCGTTTTCTGCAGGTGTGTTACACTTAAACTTCAATTCTTAAAAATGGTGCTGTGAGCACTTAGCCTCACATGGAATCCGTTCAGCAGATATAGCCAGCTGGTTTGACGGACAGTGAAATGACCTGCTCATCATGGCTCCCAAGGGTCCTCACAGCCCAGCCCAGCCCAGCCCAGAGCCACCTGAAGTGACGTCCCTGGGAGACACCTAGAGTAATGCAAGTGCTCCCAAAAAGATGCTCCCCAACTCCAGCCTGGTTGTCACTCCATGCTCTGGTCTGAGCTAAATGGTTTGCTTGGTGTAGGAACCAGGAACATTTGGAAATAGGAATCCACTGCAGAGAGAAAGAATCCCATCACTGTCCAAGGATTTCAGAGGCCAGAAGCTAAATGTCAGTGTCAAGGCCAGAAATGGGGAAATTCCTCTTTCATCAACAAAGTTTTGTTTTTTGTTTTGTTTTGTTTTTAATGGCTTTTGGGAAAACTAGACCATCTGTCTGCGTTCCTATTGTAGGTATGGACCACGTACATTCTCTAGTGGACACAGCCCAAAGCCAGGACAGGCTTCTCAGGCTAGACTGCTCCCCAACAGAGCGTTTTGCAGACTTTGGGGTGTTGACCGACAGCAGGAAATATGTTTTTTACGTGACCCAGTGTGGCACTCACAGATGGGTCTTTTGTACGTGTATAAAAATGGGAAAAAGTTTCATGAGAGATTTATCCTTACTCCTTTCAGTGCAATCTGATAGTGCTCTTTTATCCTGTTTCTTTTAACGTTCTTGGCCACCTACTAAGTTGACTGCAGTGGCCCACGGTTTGAAAACGTTCTGCTTTGGAACCCAGAGCTACAGTCCAGGGCGCCAGCCCATGCCTTTTTCTGATGCTGTACCCTGGAGTCTGTCCCATCTGCTTATAGCAACTTGGAGTCTCAGCCCGTTGCCAAGAGAATGCCGTTAGATTGGATATTAGGATCTATGACTGTGTTTGCCAAAAACAAGCTCCCCTACCTGTCAGCCTTGGACTCGCGCACTTCCTGCCTAAGGCCAAGTTCGTGGGTACTCCGTGCCTCCAATGGATGATGGTGTCGGACATTGGGCAGTGGCATCATAGCGTCCTTACCACAGAGGGACCCATGCCCAGCCTTGGGAAGCCCAGGTGGTTTGAGTGTGGAGGTTTTGGGGTGTTTTTTTTTTGGGGGGGGGGAGAGGAGAACCAGGGATTGAACTCCAGGACACTCGACCACTAAGCCACATCCGCAGCCCTGTTTTGTATTTTATTTAGAGACAGTGTCTCACTGAGTTAGTTAGCACCTCACTTTTGCTGAGGCTGCCTTTGAACTCGTGATCCTCCTGCCTCAGATTCCTGAGCCTCTGGGATTACAGGAGTGTGCCCCTGCGCCTGGTGCATGTGGATCTTTGGCGTGCAACGTAGCATCCACCCTCCTTGAGGAGATCTGGACCAGCCTGAGGTTTGATGTGGGTGCTTTCCGTGGCACATGCTGTGAGCGTGTTCCAGGTGCTGTCCAGAAGTTTGCGAGTTACACACAGACCTCTGAGTCCACCATCAGTTGGACTCTCCAGTGAGGTCACTCACAAGTATGCAGTTTGGTAGGGAAGGACCAAAGCAGAGCCTGCCTGGGTGTGTATTGCAGGCAGCAGGACGCAGCAGCTGAGCTCGGTGCATCCCCAGTCCCCCCAGCCTAGCAACGTGCCTGGTGCAGAGTCCCATTGGTAGAGTCGCTGCCTGACCCCAGAATAGATTTCTAAGTCACATGATCAACTTCTGAGGGTAAAACAGCAGGCAGGCTAACATTAGAAGCTTTCAAGGCAAGTGACACTGTGTCATGAGGTCTGGGGGACATCCGATACATTGACAACACCTCCCGCAGACAGGTGGAATCTGCCAACTGTCCGTACAGGAATAGCAGCAGGTTAAAATAGCTTTCTTGCCAGCGCCAGGAGGAATTCAGGAACAGAGAGTGCCTTTATTTGGAAACACGGGAGAGAACGGCCTTGCCAGAGAAAGCCCTGATTTTGCTTTAAAAATAAAAAAGATAAATGGCATCGCAAGAAAATCAGAAGTTCATTTTCGGGGACTTATAAACTAAATTTTTACAAGAAAGCCTGCCGCATTTATGAATTCCAGTCTTTATCTTTTAAGCAAACATTTTTCTTAGTCCTGTCCAGCCATAGGTTTTGGGAAATTGTGTTATTTCTGGTTCACTTGCTCGTTGAGAGACGAGAGTGTGGGTTTCCTTTGGCACTTGGGCTTGGTGCCCACAGAGCTGGGAGCTTTGCCACCATATTTGGAAAATATTTAACGTTGGCCACCTTGGTCTCCTTCTTCCTCACTGACCTTTGTCTTGCCTGTGTAAGGACAGTTGTAAGGACATAGACTCAGTCCTGGAGGGCGCCAGTGCCCATCTCTGTGGCAGCACCCGGATTTCTTCCATGGACATTCAGCCAGTCTTGTCGCGATGGGATTTTCGTACATGTTCCAGGAAATGATTCCTTTGCCACCGTCGCTTCATTAAACCGAGTTCTCAGGGAAGCCATAAACCACACGGAACATTCAGAGGGCTCCTGTAGGGGGAAATACAAAGAATAGAGTTAATCAAAGGCCTCAGGAAGGGTCTTTGGGGCCTTCTGTTCCTAGACGGCACCCGGAGAGACTGGATGATGGAGATCATGGCCAAGGCCTGCTGTGTGTCTGCCAAGGGGTTGGAGATACGTGTCCTCCGCTGAGAGTGGATGGAGGTCCCCATGGAGAGGACGGTGAGCTGAGCACAATGTAAATCTTCATATAACCGAAAGACCCAAGAGAAGGACTTCAGTAGAAATTTCCCGACATGTTTTCTAATAGCCTTGGCTGATGGAAACTTTAAAACCAGAATCCCTAAGCTCAGGATGGTTGGCCTCACGGAGCTTCATTTTCTTCCCAAACTCTCCGTGGAGTCCTGGAGGGGCCCCTCCTGTGGGATTCTGTGTGGGCAGCTCACAGCTAGAGGGCTCCCTGGACTTGCATGAAAATGGCTTATTTTGAAGGGTGATAAAAAGGATTTTTCAGAAGGCAAACGATAAATAAATACAGTGCTGGTTTCTCTATCTCTTGGGGTATGGGCCGTGAGTGACCCTTTAGTCACTAAGGTTGCAGGGAGAGGTAAGCGCTCTACAGCGTCAGCGGCTCTTGTTAACACTTGCGGGGATTTTGAGGGCATTTGATATAGCATTTTTGCTTAGGTCCTAACAGGGATGAGCATATCCATGACAGAACACAGTTCTTCCTCCCTCCCTCCATCCCTGAAGTTTGGCAGTGATCATGGAAGACGCTGCTGGCACAAGGCTGCCAGGCTCCACTCGTGAAGAGTTCAGAAGCAAAACCAGAGCATTACAAGTGGACACTTCCCCCACCTCCCCCCACCATGCACCTCACCAGACAGCCGGAATGCCCTGGCCTTATCAAAGGAATAAAAGGGCAGTGGGCTGGACGCGAAAGCGCAGGCTGATTGTTGGTGGTTTCCCGTTGGCGACCACCTGCGCAGCAGAGCCCCAGCTTGAGATCTCTGGGAGTTTTAAGGGAACTGGACTGGCATCGTGGCCTAGAGGACTGGAGGGGTGGTGCCCGTGTTGCTAACCGTCTCTGGTTTCTGGAGATTGGTGAGTGACTGTTCTGTGACCACAGGTAGCCTGTGTGCTCAGTAAGCTGGTCATGGGTTCCCACGACTGGAGCCCAATGTGGGTTCCTTCACTCTGTCCTTGGTAAACAAGAGGCTGTCTGTCATGCACGGTTCCTTGGGGCTCATACTCCTGCCATGACCTAGTAGGGAGGAGGTCCTAGACGGGTGCAGGCTGGGACGTTTCCCCGTCCTGTTGGTCTGGTGGAGGGCCGTCCCTTCCTGTGTATAGGCTTGGTTTGGGTACTGTGTATAGGCTTGGTTTGGGTACTGGAGGGACTCACGGGGCTGGGAGGAGACGCGCTCCTGCTGCCGATTCCCCTTGACCGAGTGTGATTTGATGGGCCTACAGGGGGAGGTAGAGAGTCTGGAACGTCACCTGTGGACTGGGTTGGGGCCCATGCATATGTTCCCCTTGGAAAGTCTGGAGACCGGTGCTGAGAATAGGGACTCCTATGGGAGGCTCTTGTGGCCAGTGTGGTTACTCGGTGACAGGTTCCCCAGAGATGCTGAGGTGGAAGAACTTCTTCCTTGGGTTCCTTCCCTGTGGACAGTGTGGTGTCCAAGGCCAGCCAGCCGCTGGGTTCAGCTCCAGCTCACCTGTGCTTCACATGTGCAGCCGCCAGCAGGTGCTCCTCTAGATTTCCGTCCTAATGTCGAGAAGATGAGAAGGGCAGCCCCAGGGTCACCAGGGAGGGGTGCTGATGAAATAAGTTACTATGGGGCAAGATTTCAGTGGCTCGTGGAGGAGTTCTGAGACCCAGCAAGCGCTCGACATTGTGATTGTCCCATCTCCGTTGGTGAGCCTCCAAAGGGAGCTTGGCAGTCCTCTTGGTGCCTTGTGTCCCCCTCCCCCAGGCAGTCTGTCCTCATTTCACAAGGGACACCACAGAGACTCTGGTTAAGTGCCTTTTCGTGTCACCCGCCTGGTTGTTGTTGCTACAGATACACATCTGGCTGTGTCCTTTCTTTTATGTCCCAGGCTTAGTACAGACTGTACATACACAGTGGTCATTAGAAAGACAGAGACCACCAATTATCACAGCAAACAACCAGCTATTTATGAAATAAGAGTTTAGTTTTAGAAAGTTGGCGTAGGGTTAGGAGATAATGAGAATTTGTATACAGCAAGTCATGGCAGTGGAAGGAGTGGATTCTGAGGTCTCTTTATTATAGTCTCAGTTCTTCTGAGTGCTCCCCTGCCCCCCAGAACTATGAAGTGGCGTGGACTGTCTGCGATCCCAGAACCCGTAGAAGTTTTAAAGTGAGTCAGACGCATCTCTGGGCTCTCCTGTCCTCTTTGCCGCTCTCTGAGGACGGTGCCGCCCAGCCCTCCAGGCGCTTCTCCTTGACCCACAAAGACAAGACGTGCGTGTTCACAGGGGACAGTGGCCCCTCCTTGGTCACCTCTACACGCGTGTGATCCTACTGTCCTCGTTTTTGCTGGGCTTTCCTCTTAGCGTGTCACACAGGCGTGGCTCGTTGGCTTTGATAAGTACACGTGATTACATCACGCGGATGTGATACGGACTTATCCAGTGGTCACCCGCTGACATCCCCCCGTTATTCTGCATTTGGGGGACCTGGAAGTCGTACTGTTTCAGCATCCTTATAAGTATTTTCTGTACCCCTGAGACTTGGCTCCAAGGGGTTAAACATATAATGGACATTCATATGAGTTTAAAAGAAGCATCCACAATAAGTAGATGTCTTTATAATCAGAAAAATAAGATACAGTGAGTTAGATAACTGGAAGAGTTACTGACCTACCACGGATATCCCAGGAGTGGCCTCTCTGGTGAACTGGCCATGGGGGAGGCCCTGCTGTCCCTGGAGGAAGCAGATCTTTGGATGGAGTCCAACCCAGTCCTCTCCTCTGTATGTCCAGTTGTCCTCTGGGGGGACATCGCAAGGTCCTTGGAGTGAGGCACAGGCACAGAGGGTTGGGCAGCCCTGCAGCCTCGTCACGGGAGGAAGAGCAGGACGCCAGGGGCTGAGCCACCTCCTGCCTGGGCTGGCACACTGTGGCGCCAGGGGCCCTGCATCAGGGCTGCGTCATCTGTCAAGTTAGAGGTTCTTGGTAACACAGGCACCTGTAAGGACTGGATGAGAGCTCTGGATCTTCTTGCCAAAGATCTCTCTGGCCACAGTGTCTCCTCTGCCCTCTCGTCCCGCCCGTGGCTTCCACGGACTCACCGAGGCCTCCCGTTAGTTCTTCAGCTGTTTGTAGGGACCTAGACCAGGCTTTGAACATCCGTCCCCTCCCTCAGTCCAGACCAACTATGTCCTCACCTGGGCTGGGTTAACAAGCCCCCATAGGGGCCCTTCACAGAATAGAAGAGTCAAGGTTATGAGGTGCCCAAGGACATGGTGGGTGGGGACCTAGGGACATGGAAAGGGCTTTCCTGTCATGGGGGTCACTGCTGCTTTGCCAGATTGGAACATAACTTTTCCTGTATCAGAAGCGCGTAGCGTAACTATTAGACGTCCCTGTGGCCACACGCACGTGCTCTGTGGCTACTGGGAGCGGTCCATGAGTAGACAGCCTGTCCATTTAGGGCTGGGCCTGCATTCATGGCTCTAAACTGCTGGGAGGTCCGAGAACAGTGGCTCAGTGTTGCTGAAATGACCCTGAGTCGCACGTTATTATAGGTCCTCGGTGGCGGGCCTGCTCCTTGTCTAGCAGTGAGGGCCGCTCCTGCCCAGGGGAGTTTTCAGTGCCCACATTAGGAAAAGCTTGTTGAAGGGTCAGCTCTTGTCAGTTACACACTGGGGCTAATTGTAAACACTTACTCACTTCCAAGTTTTCATCCAAAAAAAATGGAAATCATTACTAGTACTTACAGTGAGTTTGTTGGAATCTGCAAGTTAAAAAAAAACTTAAAACAAATTTTTGTTCGTACTGGCCTTGGCACACCTAATGGTCTAAACAACTGATACCTTGAATTAATTCCTATTCATTAGCTATTTTTTATATTTTATAACTCGCAGGATAAGACTTAGTTCATTTGTGCTGCTATAACAAAATCCCTCCTACTAGGTGATTAATAAACAACAGGGATTTCCTGCTCACAGTCTGGGAGCGGGAAGAGTCAGTGTCTAGTGAGACTGACACTCTGCTTGAAAGGTGGTTCATGTTGCTGTGTCCCCACATGGTGCAGGGGCAAGGGAGCCCCTTTCCTCAGGGCACTAGTCCCATTTGTGAGAGTGGAACCTTGACCTCACTTCTTAGCACCGTGGCATTAGATGTTTCGGTCCAGCGTCTGCATTTGAAGGGAACACTTTATTTGCCAGTTTTGGATCACCATGAAAATACCTGAGAAAAACAGCTGAGAGAAGGAAAGAATTATTTTGACTCAAAGTTTTATAGTCTCCCGACCCAACACTGTGGGTCGGGGTGAGAAAGAACGGCGTGGAGGAGTCAGTGGGGTTCAGGGGAGATAACAGGTCCAAAAGCTCGGACAATGGCCAGGGGCAAAGTCCCTCTGCGTTCTAGGTGAGATGTTTGTTCAGTTTGTAGTCTCTCCTTCCCGGATGCAAGTCTAATCTTCCCTGGTTAATGACATTTCTCTACAAAGATGAAAGGCAACGGGGTTCCGTTTTGGTGGGTGGAGCCTCAGGTAGATAAGGAACTTGAGGAAAACCCTTCTCTGGATCCAGGATGGGGCAGGGGGCTTGGGAGGCCGGGGTGGCCCTGAGGCTGCAGTTTGGCACATGTGGCCTGTCACGGCACCATGCTCTGGGGTATCATTTTCTGCGCCCCAGCACTGGCCTTTAAATTGAGACTTGCCGTCCCTCATGGATGTGGGCAGTGTTACAGGACAATGGGCCACCAGAGGTGGCTTTTTCAGGCTCCACGTCCCTTTGAGCTCTGCAAACGGGGAGTCATCTGTGAGCTGTCTCGAGGACCAGCCGTGGGGTCACAGACCCCAGCTCAGCTCACCAAAGGGCGGGGCTCGGATGGCTCTGTTCTGAGGTGTGGCTCAACAGAACCTCGAGACGTTTCATTTTGTTTAAGAAATAGGTAATAGGTTCATATGGCAGATAATCTCTACGCTCAGAGGGTTTCATCTTTTTCATAACAGCAGTGAGTGTCAACAGCGTGTGGAACCCTGTCTTTTGTAACTGCTGTCTCTTGGGCCAAGTCAATGTCAGTTGGTGCCTTTCGGCTGTTTGCAGCGATGTGTTGATTCGGCTGGACTCCTCAGGGTCACTTCTGGTTTTCAAGGGACCCGGAAGGCTGGGAGGCACTTCTGGGCCACCCTCTGCATTCACTCAACCCCCGAGTGTGGTCATGTGCTCCACGTGCCATGCGAAGCTTTGTACGGGCTTAGCCAGAGGCACGTCTGTCCTGGAGCAGGCTCTCCTGGTGGCAGGAGATTAGCAGTCAAGAGTCTCCGAGAGAGGGGTCAGAGTGCGCTGGCAGGGCAGCCTGTCGCCCAGAAGGTAATTAACGTCCCACAGTGTCCCCTTCACAGGCTGCATGTCAAGTACCGGGCAGGGCTGGAGCAGGCCCTTGATCCCGACAACTGCAGGATCTCTGGGGTGCCAGGTGGAGGGGACTTGCCCCTTCATCACCGGCCTTCCTGTCTCCTGCAGAGCATGCTTGGCAGAGGGTGTGCCGGGCACAGGACCTGCCCTCCCCCAGGTCCAGCGCTGGCAGCTGGGTAGGCAGAGCGGAGGCCTGTCTTGAGGACGGTGGAAACACCCTTCTGATTTGTAGTGAAATTTTTAAAGTGTTCCAACGTGGTTCCTGCTTAGAGCTGAGGGTGGTCACCCTGCAGGGAGGCCAGTTACATATTCATGTGCACACACGTATGTGCTTATATGTTAAAGCCTTAGAAAGTGTTTCTGGAGGGCTGGTATCAGTTTAGAAGATGAAAAGTCCTCTGTGACAAGGACTTCAGCCATTGATGTGTACCCAGAGAAAGGGGCTGTCAAGCTTTTCCTGTAAAAGGCCCGTGGTCAGTGCTGGCTCTGGGG